CCAATTTTCTGCACAATAAACTCTATTTTATTTACTTTTATTTGGTTTTATATTTGTAGAAAAGTGCTGAATATTTTAAATCAGTTGATTAAAATCTGAATGAATAAAAACTCGTTTTAAATCAGAAATAAAGGAAAATATTTCTGCTTTTTGGACACGATCCTCTGCAGACAAAGACTTCACTGCAGCTGCTTTGACTTGACGACTCGTTTACACTCGTGACAGGTTTCCCTGCGTGCGTGCGTGCGCGTGCGCGTGCGCGCGCGTTCCCCTGCAGATGAATGTAAAAGTGAATGAAGAACAAGCCTCGTGCAGTTTGTCAGGTTTCACATCAGAAACTTGGAGGATTTCAGGCTGTTAATTGTCGTTTGTCTTTAATTAGTTGCAGAGTTCTGTTTTTGTTTTAACCCCCCCTCCCCCCCCTCTCTGTGTGTGTTTTTAATTGGCATATAGGGAGGCTTGTTTGTTTTTGTTGTCTGCTGTTTCTTAAATGTGTGTGTTCGTGCTCATGTGGCCCCCGGTGTCCCAACAAGCACTGCGGTAGGTGTTGGGAGGCGCTTTCGGTGGCAACAAACACACAACAACAAAAACAACGCGGGAAGAAAAAGTACACACACACGACAAAAATACACGGCGAAGACAGAAATAAGCAACACAACCTGACACACAACCTTTCAGACGGCACAAAAACACAAAGATCTGCACGCTGAACACACACTCCTGTTGCCTCTCGTGTGGCGCCATCTTGTGGCCTCAGGAGGCTCAGCAGACACCTGTGGACACACAACTGAAGGGTTTCATCTCAACAAAAACACAAACCATCAGTTTTCTGATCACCTGATACAAGCTGCAGAGCTGGATCCCTGCTTCACTGGGTTCATGTCTGTTAGCAAAATATCTCATGAACAGCTGCGCCAACATGTAGGAAAATTCATAAAGAGGAATTGTTTCATTTTATCTTCAACTGATTACATTTTACTATTAAAAAACACAAAATGTCCACAAACATGACGTCATTATTACAAATGTTGAGCTGAAACCTGGAGTGGTAGTAGCTGAGAGTCATCCCAACACACACTGAGTGACACTTTATGCAGCAAATTCAAAAACAAATAAAAAAATAAATAGAAATAATATGTGAGAAAGTTTTAATGATCTTGTTGATTGAGGCAGTTCTGCTGTTTCAGACGTTCCCGCTGCCTCGGCTCCTGTGGACCAGAACATGTTGTTGTGTTGAACAGCTGGTTGGTATCACAACACACAGTTACACCTGGTTCAAAACTTAGTTGAGTTTTTCTGTTTATTTTTATTTATTGATTTAATCAGGGCAGTGCAGATTAAAGAACAAACCTAAACTTCTACTGTAGATGAGATTACAGCTGCTAATCTAATCCTGAAGCAGAGCGACAAAACAACACAACAACACAACATGTAAAATCAGACAAAACACACACACATTCAGACAAATAACATCATAACAATAAGATTAGTCAAACTTCTGAGAGACTGTTTAGGTGCTTTTTAAATGTGCAAAAATATTTAGAAAAAATATTGTATTTATATTATTTTTAGCTTTCAGTTATGAAGCTCCTGAACTTCCAGTTTCTGTCCGTGAGGCTGACACTCTGTCTACTTTAAGATTAGACTGAAGACTTTCCTTTTTCATAAATCCTATAGTTAGACTTAGGTTTCCTGA